CTGGATAGGGCCCTGGGTGACCTGACCTAGGTAGAGATGTCCCTGCTTGTGTAGGGAGGTTGGACCAGATGAGTTCTAGAGGCTCCTTCCAGCCTAAATCATGCCATGGCTGCTGCTGTGCAAGCTAAAATCACTGCTAAACCAAAAATTTTGAAGAAGGAACTTTTGAATAAATAAACCCAATCCTTTAGAAAAATGTTTAATTCTTGCTTATGATACAGTGTACTAGTTTCAGCTACGGCAAGAGTTAAAATTTCACAGTAGCTGCTACAGGGCCATGTTTTGGGTTTTTGTTTTGGTTTTTCTACCAAAACAGTATTGATAAGAGGGATGTTTCTGTTGTGGCTGGGCACTGTTTACACCACCAAGGTCTATCACACTTCTAATTCTGTCCTGCCAGTGGGGAAGATACAGAAGAAGCTGGAAGGGAAAGAAGTTGGGAGGGGCTGAGGAAGCTGACTAGGCTGCTGTAAATTTGGAACTGTCTGGGCATTGGCAGCTTGGTAGTGAGCAACTTGGGTGAGAGAGGGGTTGCATTACTCTTTTCCCTTGCTTTTATTTCTTTTCCAGTGTACTCCACTCCCATCCCTTTTTAAGAATGGTTAACCTCTCTTCATCTCTGCCTATGAGTTTTCTCCTTTTACCCTTCTGACTGTCTCTCCCTATCCAGGTGGGTGGGGGATTGAGTGACTGGCTGTCTGCTGCTGAGCTGCCTACTGGGGTTAGACCATGACATACGCTTTCTGAGATTTAGATAAATCCTAAACAGTGAAGGGAGGTTATAACTGAACATTCATTGTTTTGAGTTTTAGTTTGCCAGTGTATGTAGCTTGAAGCTTGAGAATGTAATAAAACATTGAAAGAATTTCTGTATCAATCAGCCCATAGTGTCAAGGAGGGAAATTGTGGTAGTAATATGTTGTTTTAAATTATTGGAATATTCCTTTCCCTTTTGGGGATTATTCCATGCCTTCCTTCTGTTAACTGATATGCAGCAATCTCTCCACTGTCCTGAGAACTGCTGCTTAGAAAACTGAAAATTATCCATTCTAATTCAAATTTTTTTTTAATTCATCTGCACTTGGAAGCTTTCAATACCTGCAGGAAAGAAAGAGATGTATAATATTGATTACAGATAGAGAATATTGGTTAATACTGTTTAAAAGGCAATATAAAACTTTTTACCTGCGACTTATTAACTGAATTTATCGGGGATATGCTCTCATTATTATTCAGAATTCAGTAAGGGATAGGGTGTCAAGAATGTGAGTTGTTTCTGTTTCATGCATTTGACAGCCAAGTACATTCATATAGCTTTGGAAGTAAAGGCATGATTATTTTTTTTTTTTAAGGTCATAGTCTAGAGAACATTAATTGGGTCAGTATTACATGCATTTCTTTTTCAAACCTTGAATGTGAGATCCCGTTCTTGCCTTGTGAAAGAAAATGTTTTCTGCAATTCATAGTTGTAAAAGAAAAAATAGTAGGGTAAATGATAAAGCTGAGTACAATAAAGGAGATTGTTTTATCTTTCCATGTCAAATGTTGATGAGATTGAGACCAGAATACACAAAGTTTTTTAAGAAAGCTGGGGAAAAAAAAAAAAAATCTAAGGAAGAGCAAAAAAAGTTAAGTACTTTCTGCAGGAGAAAACAATGACACATCCCCCTGCCCCTTACCCAAATTTGACATGAAAATAACTTGGCACAGCTTCCTCCCCCCTCTCCCTGCCCTCCATGGAATCTTCCTCTTCCCCTCAGCTCTGGTGTCCCCCCCTCCCCACTCCTCTCTCCAGCTTTTTCCTTCCCCTTATCACCTCTCCCTCCTCATACCACACACTTCTAATTTTATTTTCCCCCATGATGTATATAATACACCTAGGAGGTGTATGTGTGAATGAATGATACCAAAGAAGAAAAAGTGGACATAACAGGATGAAAACAAAATCCGAGGGAACTTAATGGAATACTTAACAGAAAATGTCCCTGTGAGGTGTTTAAGGTCACTGGATCTGTGTTCAGTGTAAGACAGAAAATGCAGTTGCCTTCTTGTTAAACTACAAAAATTGCTAGGTATGTAGGGGAAAGTTTTCAGTGTTTCAGCTCTTGAAAGAAAGGTGAAATTTTGTTCAGGTGTTCAGAACTCATATATATGAAATTAAAGATATTATATTTTATCTATATTTACTGTTGCTTTTATGGACTAGACTGCTCCAGCAAACTGATGCCATCCAGACATATAACAGCAGTTGTGGAAGTCACAAATCAGGCAAGCCTGCCTGACTCTAGCAGTCAACATTGCCCTGTTCAGGAGATAGGCAAACATCACAGCTGGTTTTAAATGTGCATGGGTGGTGGTGATTCGTCTGAGTAGTGTTGTAGATCTAGGTTTTGCAGTCCTCAATCTAAGAAAGCTGATTGTCTTATACGTAGTGTGCAGGACAGGAGAGGATAGGGGAGAAAAAAAAGGTAGATGATAGGAGAATAAAGAGAGGTGTCTGGGTTTCAGTGGCTGAGGACACTGATTCTGTCAGAGCACTAGGCACAGAACTGAGCAGGAAAATCCAGTTGTCCTAAATCTGACTGTAAATTGGAATGGCTTGAGACTGATATGCAGGCTTGTGGCGAAAAGGATGGAACACTTCTGAACACTCAAATTGCACTGCTAGTTTGTGAACACACGTACATGTGCATCTGCAGTTAACCTTGAACCCTGTGCTCTTTCTGGAGAGACCAAGGAGTTTTGTGGCAGAGGAGCTACACAAAGCAGGTAGCCAGGAATGAAAGAAGCTGTCTTATTTATTCTGAAGTTCAGAAAGCTCAGTGTTCCTGGACCTTTAATGTGTCCTTTTCAGTTTGAAGAGTTTAGAGTACAGAAAAGCTACTTTGTTAATGCCACAACTAGTAAAGGCTGAAAATGACCTGGGCATAAAAAAGCCAGTGAACATGTGAAATACTGAAGTTGTAATTGCACTTGTACAAGAAGCAGCCTTTGGACAGGACCTCCTTGTGTTATATTAGCCGTAGCTGATGGTACTGCTGTATTAAAATCTCTTTTGGCTACAGTATTGACCTTTTGTTGTCTGATGAATCTCTGTCTTTTTTGTTTCCTCCAGAATCTCTTGTAGCAATGGGTCAAGAAGTAAGCAAATTTGCACGGACTGACCCAGTGGAAGGAAATCAGACCAGTGGAGGCTATGGAAGAAGACACGTATCTGTTTGCTTTAGAGCATCTATGAATAACCAAGACAGAGACGAATGTTCAGACAATGAAGACTGTGAACGACCAGAAATGGGGGAAGTTCATGGGAATTCTTTAGGTAAGTGTATGTTGTTCAATGTGTGCCACTTAATTGTATGACTGGGGTGCTTGAGGGTGGAGGAGAAAGGCACACAGAAGAATGTGAAAAGGAAGAGAGGGCCACCTTAAATAAATGTGTCAAGTACGCTTTGTAGGGCTGTAGAGGATTAAACTTAGTATTTAGGCAATTTAAAATAGTCTGTCTTGGGCTGTTTCATTTTACCCATGGAGTGGCATTCTCACCAACGAGATAACCATAATACATTGTCTAGGTCGAATTGTTTGGCTTCAAACCAAATTACAAATTCCATTTGAAGAGAATACCTGTTGCAGGCTTCTATTTAGAATGAGGGTATGAAATACTTTTTGTATCATGGACAGGGATTGTTCTGTCTTTGTTGGGTTGTGCAGTTGGTTGACAGCTACTCCATGCAATGGTACAGGCTTGAGAAAGAGCATCTGGATAGGTGCCAAGTGGAAAGGTACCTGTGGTTGTTGGTTGACAGCCTTTTGAATATGAACCAGCAGTGTCCCCAGGTAACCAAGATTGCCAACAGAATGCTGGTCTGCAGCAGAGATGGCATGGTCAGCAGGACTACACTAGTGAAGTGAATGCCCCCCTGTACTCAGCATGAGTATGGTGAGGCCATACCTTGAATGCTGTTTTGGGTCACTCACCCCAGGAAAGACATTGAGTTTCTGGAGCATGTCCAAAGAAGGGAACAAAGATTGTGAAGGGTCTAGAGAACAAATCTTATGAGGAGCATATGGGCCTGGAACACCTGTCATGTGAGGAAAGGCTCAGGGAGCTGGGATGTTTAGCTTGGAGAAGAGGAGCCTGAGGGGAGATCTTAGAAATACCTAAAGGGTAGGTGTCAGGAAGATGGGGCCAGGCTCTTCTCAGTGGTGTCTGGTGACAGGACGAGGGGCAATGACCACAACCTGGTGAACAGGAGGTTCAACATGAAGATAAGGGAGGACTTCTTTACGATGACACTAACAGAGTGCTGGAACAGGCTGCCCGGTGGGGTGGTGGAGTCGCCATCTCTGGAGACTTTCAAGGCCCGCCTGGACATGTTCCTGGGTGATGAACTCTAGGTGTTCCTGCTCTGGCAGGGGGGTTGGACTAGATGGTCTTTTGAGGTCCCTTCCAACCCTTAACATTCTGTGAATCTGTGAACTGCACTTGTTTAGCCTGGAGAAAAGGAAGTTCAGGGGATACCTTAGTGCTCTCTACAACTAAACGGGAGGAAGTTGTAGCAAGGTGGGTATTTGTCTTTTCTTTAAAATAACAAGTAATAGGACAAGAGGAAACGGCCTCAAATGGCGAGGTCATAAAAGCTGTGTCCATGTGGTGCTTAGGGATGTCGTTTAGTGGTGGACCTGGCAGTGTTAGTTTAATAGTTAGACTCAATGATCTTAATGATCTTTTCCTACTTAAATGATTCTATGATTTTATAAAAGAGCTTTTTTTCCCTCCTTCTTTTATAGACTATTTTTTAAACTGCTTTCTACTATTTGTTTTTTATTATAATAGCATAGTACAAACTTAACTTTGCCATATGCCTTTGCTCTTGAAGACCTTTAAGTTATGTTGAACATCTTGGGGCATAGGGGTTAGGATGCTTATTTTTTTGAATTTGAATAGTTTTGCAGTTGTCTATGCTTCGTATGTTTTCTACGCTTTAATCTGCTTAAAGATTTACTATTTGTAGGGCAGTGTTGACACTTGTGGAGATCTTCCTACTGTCTCTATAATGTTAACACCTTTTTTGTTCCAGTTACTCAGAAGTGAGCATTTTGGGGGCCATAAGAAATACACTGTTTAGAGTGTATTATCTGCTTGTTTAATGCAATTGCTTTATATATAAGTTCTAAGAGTAACTAATTTTTTTGTATTGGACCTAAACCAAAATACCTTTCCTCTTATACTTTGTATTTCTTTTTGTGTTACAGCTTCTCAAATTTATCTTTGAGAAATGTCTTGGATGGATCTATTTCCTTTAACTTAACTAGGTTGAATTTTCCCAAGTCAATACATATTTTTTGGATGGGTGTGCACTACTTAAAATATACTGCATATTTCCTTGCTAATTGGCTTGACATCTTCTATACATCTAAGCAACTCTAGAAGATGAGTGAAGGAGGCATCCTTGGAAGTGTTAAAAGTCTGACTGGACTTGATCCTTAGTAACTATTACATGTGGCTCTGAGCAAGAGGGGTGGACTGAATGATGTCCAGAGGGGCCTACCCTCTAACCTCAGCTGTTAGCAGTTTTGTGAGGGAGCTTCAAGATTTTAATTAGATAAAATTTACTGTTACAGTATTGCTTCCTGCAAGCCAGACTTCTAGTGCTGAGAGGCATGTGTCTTATATGAGTTCAGAGTCATTAATTCACCAACCTAGGGATTTAGGTTAGCTATTCAGATAAGAATCTTTATCTGTTTGGTTTTTAACCCTGGAACATGCATTTTACATGGTTCCCTACCTTGATCTTTTTTTTACAATAACGTGCTAGGCAATACCTTCAATTAACCATTCCTGTCTCTTTTTTTTTTTTGTGGTCTTGTAGTTAAGTTTCTAAATCTCTTAATATCAGCTTAGAAGTTTTAAGTATTCTTATCAAGTTACACAGGCCACTGTATGTTGACTATTGCCTTGGCTAGGAGGCAACTTACAAATTACTTGAACTAAGTATTCATTTTCTAGTGGCAGAAATATACATTTTTTTAACTTCTTTGACTCTTGTTCTTGGTTTTGATATTTGTTGTCCCATTATGAAAGAGACGTTCAGAAGTAATACAAACAAACTGAATTTGTGATGGTGGTGATGACTAACTCGAATGCCGTGTTTATCTCTGCTTTTTCTTCTTTTTAAGAGCTGCACTCATAGCTACATGTACAAAATGTGGTATTAATATATAATTTATAGTAGCAATAAATGGTTTTATCTGTGTGTAACAAGAGGCACAATTTAGCCAGTCCAAATTTTAACTTCTAGAAAGAAACATATCTTTGTCAGTATTCTAGTGGGGTTTTTTTTCAGATTTTCTGTTCTTGTCTTAAAATTCACTTTTATATAAAGAATATAAAATGCTGCTTAAGAATGTGTTTTTTTAATACTTTTTTCTATCACAAACTGAACTGACATGATATCATTTAAGTCTATTTCTATATGTTTATATAAGTGAGAATGTAAATATATTAGTGAAGAATGACTGCATCTCTGGTAATTGTTTCTTCCTATCAAATTGCGCTGCATTCCTTCAGAGATATCCTTTCTTTTTCATGAGTAGTTGTAGATGAGAATATTCCTGTTGGTTTTGATTATTCCAATTCATGCTTTTTTTTTTTTTTTCACAGCTTTCTGTGAAGGTTCAAGTCCACTGGTTCAAATTTCTCCTGGTTTATTAGATGAGCCTGTGTTAGAAAATATTGGAACTGGAGAACCAATTTGCCAAGTTGTATCAAGCCAAACTTTGCGAGTGAACACGCCACTATTTTCTCAACTCCCTCATGTTCTGGAAAGCAACCCAATTTCAAGGAACTTTATGAATCCATATGAAAATTCTGAGGACCTTGCAGGGTATGCATCTGGAGGATGTAATAGTTTGAATGGTCAGCATCGAACTGCATTTGCAAATTTTGACTCATGTGAGCCAGATAGCAAAGATAAAGAGGAAGATGATGCTCAACACAAATTTCCTATGGCAAGAGAAGAACCAGATGCATTTCAGCAAACACTAGATAACATACATTCTGAGGCAAAGAAACACACACAGTCTTTTACGGGCTTAGAGTCCCAATTTCATGCATTCAACCACAGTGCTTGTAGAGAATATTGCAAAGAAGTGGAACCAGTGCCTTTAACAAGATGTTTTAGTATGGATTCAGACTTGGCTTGCCCAAACAGGACATTTGAATATTCTACTGGATTTGAAGCTATACAAAGAAGTAACCTGAGTGGTGCCAGTTATGAAACAGAGCAGATACAAAATATAGTGGATGTTGAAATCGGAGCCCATGCATCAACTGCTAATGAACTAGATATCAGTGGTGGAAGAACTGACCAAGGAAAATCACCTGAGCCAGTCGTGAGACCCAAAATAAGAAAACAAAACATTGCAAACCAGTTGGAGAGAGAGAATCTTCTTGATGATGAAGATGATGATGGAGGGGAAAGTGGTTCTTGGAGGAGAACTGAAATTGCTGAAGACCAACAGGGCCCGACTCGGTGTGCCTTGCAAATTAGCAAAGAAAATAAGAGTTCTAGTATTTTCTTTGACTTAAGAGAATGTGAAGATCATCAGAAGCACACAGAATTATACCTAAGGAGAAATGCAGCAGCTCATGAACAAAATGTTTCAGATGATAGCACTTTTTGGGATGCATTTCAAGACTGCAGCAGACACTTCTCCGACAAAGATGAGGACAGGTAAAATGTCATTTTTCTATGTGTTAGTATTGACTCTTTTGTGTAAATAATGTGCAAATATGAATAACATGTTAGCAAACGGGACATAAATACTTAAGCATCTTCAGAGTATGATCAGGTATCAGAATGCCAGCTTTTCAGTTCTCCTTCAAACTTCAAGTCCAGGAAATGGACATTCTGGTAATGTAAAAAACTTTTGCTTATGTATAGGGTCAAAGTACCTTACTTCTCAGGATGATTACTTGTTTGTTTGTTTTATTTTTACTGAGCAGATGGAAGTTAGAGAGGGAAAACCTTGTTCAGCGTGGGTTTTGGCAAGTTAAGGGTCTTTGAAGCTTTTTTACTTTCAGAATTTGTTTTGCCATCAAATCTCAATTTTCTGTATGATTGCCAATGGATGTTCTTGTCTCCAGCCTTTTGAGAGAAATTATTCTTCCTTGTCATGGCTGAAGAACAACTTGATAGAATTGCTTATAATCCTTTTTTTAAACGAAACATCTTTAGGCTAGGAAGTGTTTGCAATGTAACTGTTAACAAATACAGTTTCAGTTCTGCAGATTACTCCTGAGCACCACGAGCAGTATTGGTCCTGTTTTGGGCTGTCTACCTGTAAGACAGACTAATTTGAATACACGTTTTGTTGAATAACTCTTACTCATATAATGCTGTTTAAGAACTTTTCACTATGAATAGGAGTTATGTAACTGAGCTGTTTGGGGGTGGTAATAACCCTAAAAATTATATCCTTTGGTTAATTTATAGTAAATATAGTAGAGTTTTTCAAGGTTTTTGTTTGAGTTGTGTGGGGTTTTTTTTTTCAGTTTTTCTTCTAGTCTTCTAGTTTGCTTTCATTTTCTTGGCTCTCTTCCCACTGTATTCTGGTGCAATGAGGATCATACCTGTTAGCTTCCTCCATTTAGTTTTGGTTTGTATGACAAGTACAGACCAGTTCAACCAGGGGAGACACTATTGTCAAAAAATCCACATGTGGATTCTGAGTTAATGTTACGCTTTGGCAAGTGGAAAGTCTATAACTCTTTAACCATTAAGTGATATTCTGCCTCTCTGCAAAATTTGGCGCAGTTAAATCCTGAGTTTTGAAATAGGGATATTTAATGTTCTTTCTTTGTTCAGTATTAATGACTTTAGGCATAACCTCTATTCTGGTTTGAGTCAGTATTTGTGTATAAAATTTAAAGAAAATTAATTTGACTAACAACATGGCAATATTATTATGAACTATTGGAAATTGTTCCTGGACTGTAAAATAGAGAAAACTAAAAGATTTGAATTTTGGTCTAGTCTTACAAGTATGCTTAGATAACCTTTTTAACAAACAAACAAAACACACCACCAAAAACTAACCAAAACAAGAGGTTCTAAAATGTTAGTATTCTGCTTTAGTTGGTGTGGTATGCATGCAGCCTACTAGTATCTGAAGGAAACCTACAAGAAAGCTGGGGAAGGACATTTTGAGGGCCTTTAGTGATAGGACAAGGGGTAACGTATCTAATTTAAATTTGTTCTTTCAGTTTAAAGACAATGAAGAAGCTCTCCACTATGAGGGTGTTGAGTCATTGGAACAGGTTGCCCAAAGATGTTGTAGATGCCCCAGCACTGGATGTGTTCAATATTAGGTTGGATGGGGCTTTGAGCAGCCTGGTCTGGTGGAAGGTGTCCCTGACCATGGCAGGGGTTTTGGAACTAGATGACCAATATTGCTGCTTGTGTGTTAAGCAAACACTGGTGTTCTCACTGTCACTGCTGTCATTTTTGTGTGCTTGGAGAAAGATGTGTATACTGGGTTTAGGTTAATATTCCTGAGTTGTTTAATGAACTCCACAAATGTGGAGGGGGAAGGACAAAACATCTTTGTGAAGTGAGTTGGACTTCTTTCTAAGGAACTGATTTTTTTTTTTTGACGTCTTTACATTTACTTGTTACTATCTATAGATGTATGACAAGGCAAATTAATTTCTTCTAGAAAAAAGTAGTCTATATTGAGAGCAATGTTCATTGTGCTCAATAGTAAAAAAGTAGAAAATCAGAAAATGTTTGTTGTCTTTCCTCTAAAGCAATGTTTAAATTCACACCCCGTTGCCTTGTTTAAATTACAGGTCAGAATGCAGTGATGGAGAATGTTGTACACCTTTGCCTAGCTATTTTACTTCTTCAGAAGACGAACAGCTCTCAAGCGATGAGAGCTGGAAGACAGTCCAATTGGGAGACGAAGAGGAGCCTGACGTGCAGAGCAGCACCAGTAGCACCAGCAGTAGTAGTAGTGAAGAGAGCACAGAAGAAGATGCTCTCCAGGAAGAGTAAGGGTTTATTTTATTAGCTTTCTTTAAGTTCTGACATCAGCAGCAATGTCGTATCCACATGACACTACACAGAATAACAAGTTCAAAAACTACTTACTATACCACCATTAATCATTTACCTACATCAAAATAATCTAAGTAATTGTATGTATTTCGTATCAGAAAAAAAAAGGCTTGTCATGCAAACGACTCTATTTTATGAAAGATTCATTTATTTTTTTTTTTTAAGGGAAGAGGCATCACTGGAGGAAGGAGAGCTTCCTTGGTTCCTGTACTGGGAAGAAGAAGAAGAAAGTAGTAGTGATGAGGAAGAATTTCTGCATGGAGATCTTGTGCCTCGTGCATTCATCTTGTTGGCTGCAGTTGACCCTGGTGATGGCTCCAGTGCAAGTGAAGACCCAGACTACGAATGGAGGTATGCCTTCAGTAATTTTCTGCATTAATTTCAAAGGGTTTGTAGTTACTGTTTTGCTTTTTATGTAAGATGTCAGAAGTACTTTTAGTTATTGGTATGCCCTTACTTCAACAGCTGAGTTTTAAGGCTTAAGGTATTTCAGGTATTCTGTGTCTTCAAATGAGAGGAAAAAAAGGTTGTAGATTTGCTAAATCAGACTGATCTTAGAAGGTTCTGGTGCACAAAATATTCAAGGGATGGGTGTACTTTTTCAGTTTTGAAGACAGGACGTAGAGTGGAAGTACAACAAAAATAAAGCAATAGAATGTAGTCAGCATTCAAGTCCATGCTGTAACTTGGCTTTTCCTCTTTTGCAACTTTTTTCTCTTGAAAATGCCATGTGCTTACCTTGTATTACAATAATTTTGAATGCTTCACTTAATTTTCTGTTAGATTACTGAAGAATATTGCAATATATCTGTTACAAAAATTCTGCAGATGCCAGGAAGAAAGTGGTTGGAGTAACTTGCACAGCCTAATCCTAGAATAGTATAACGTATTTCTTTTAAAGTAAGAGTAAGCTAGACAAAACACTATCCAGTGAGAGACTTAACAACTGCTCTTTTCTGCTAATTAAAAATACCGTAAACTACAACATAGACATAACAAAAGCTCTAGTATTTTCTCCTTGTGAAGTTCTATTGTGAAAAGTGAAATGGGGACTAAGGCTTGAGGATCCAAGTTAGAAGTAATGCACATGTTCTTACAGTGCCCAGCAGCAACTTAGCAAAGGAGTTGTGAGGTATGGACAAACTGTTTTTTAAATCACACAATCACTATGGTTGGAAAGGACCTTTGAAGATCATGAAGTCCAACCATTACCTAACTCTGCCAGGCCACTTCTACATCATATCCCTGAGCACCCTATCTAGATGGCTTTTAAATACATCCAGGGATGGTGATTCAACCACTTCCCTGCAAAGCCTGTTTCAGTCTTTGATCACTCTTTCAGTGGAGAAATTTCTCCTAATGTCTAACCTAAACCTCCCCTGGTGTAACTTAATTTTTTTTTTTTTTTCTGTCAGCTGAAGTGTGTAAGAAGAGGCCCACAGCCACCTCCCTACAACCTCCTTATAAGTAGCTGTAGAGAGTGATAAGGTCTCCCTTCAGCCCCCTTTTCTTCAGGCTAAACAAACCCAGTTCCCTCAGCTGCTGCTCTGTGCGTGCCTCAGTGCTGGGGGAGAGTGCTGCAGGGCTGCTCTGTGGGAGGCACAGCTAGTCTCCAGGATGGGGTGGTGCCCCTGGGAGAGTATTTAAGAAGTGGTGAGAAGTGCTGCATAGCAAAGAAGTGCAACATAAACAGCTTTAGTGTCCAAGGTCAGAGAAGTAGGAGGAGCTGCTGGAGAAGATACTCCCTTGCAGATCCTGGGAGAATCGCAGAGGAGCAGGTAGGCATTTGCTGAAGGAATTGTGCCCCTGGGGACCCCACACTGGAACAGTTAGTGGTGGGCTACAGGTGTGCGAAAGACCCTCCAGAGGAGCAGGCTTTTTCTGGAGGACTGTTATGCTACGGGGAGGGGACCGACACTGGTAGCTGGGGAACAGTGTGAGAAGGAAGGAGTGACAAACTGCCCAGGACTAACAACCCTTATTCTCTCTGTCTGTTGTTAGCTGCTTGGAAATTAAGACTGTTTTCTAATTTATGTTTTTCAGAGTGCTTGGTGAGATTGGCGGCAACATACCACATCAAGTTGTTTCTGGCATGGATCCTCAGATTGTTGCAGTTTTTGCTGTAGAGGGACACTTTCAGCAAGCCATGGAGGTATTCAAATTTTCTTGATAGTATTAGTGAAGTTGTAACAAGTTTTTATTATTGAATCCTTTTTCGGCATAATCTCAAAGTCAGGAGAATTGGGGGTGAGAAGAATACTTTCTGATTTTAGCTTGAACTTTGTGTGGTCTGCAAACTTGAAAATAAATGCTGGAAGTTCCTTTAAATGATGTAGTGCAAGAAATCATTGATCAGTGCTACTCCTTTTAGAATATGTATTTATTTCATCTTAAAAGGGAAAAAAAATACTGATTTCTACCAGTATAAATGCATGCTATTTAAATTAATCTAAAGAATGTTGCCAAATATCCTGTATAACAAAGGAAAGCTCACACCTGGATCTGTGCCTATGGATTGTCCCAGCTTTATTTTTGCAAGAGACGATCGGATGTCTCATTTTTTTTTCTCAGTTGAAAACTTTTCTGTTTGACTATCTTGCCACTAAGTGTTTTAAATTAAAAACAAAACAAACAGAACAACAGGAAAAAAAAAAAAACAACCAAACAAACAAAAACACCCCACACCAAACTTAAAAGGAAAAAAGCTTTTACATTTATCTTTTTCTAATCCTATTTCATCAGTCTGACTTTTGATAAACCAGAGCACTTGTTATTGAGAATCTGCACAGTTATGATCTTTGTCTTTTCTGTATTACATGACATAGGTCACTGACAGAGTGAATATAAGCTAGCTGAAACCCAGTTTGAGGCAGTGTGACAATTCTTACACTGCCAGAATCCACCTCTGCATGGTGTTTGTCAAATAAGAGGTAAATGATGTGTAGACATAGAACATGGTATTATGGCAATCAGATTTAATGTTTTTTGTGTGGTCCAAGTTTAGGAACAGCAGGGGGCAGTCTGACTACTTGCTCTTTTTAACAGGGCAGACTGTAGGGCATAGTGTGCTTGCAGACAAATGCCACAGATGCTTTGAAATGCTTTTGAAAGCTGATGGTGGAACAATGAGAATTTTTTTTTTTCCATGGATATGTGCAAAATCAGTGATTTTCATGAATGAACCTCATGGGGATTTTCCAAGGGGATGGAAGTGTTGTTCCCTGAAGTTGGCAGTCATTCAGTTTCCAGGTATTGTGTATCCACAAAGGTATATAGGAGGTCAGCATTATTCATGATCAAGTACCTACAGGGTCTTCTTCAGCTGTGTAGGATCTCATTACTATTATTCATCTGGAGATACTTCAGAACTGCTTATTAATATGTAGGCAGTCTGATGATATCCTTACTATAAAAGCAGTATTTGGAAAGCTGTGTAGAGAAAATTCCTTCTTTCTTTTGTAGCTGCTGGTTCTCACTACATCAAAAAGAACAGAACTACAGAAGCAGTTGACCTCTTCTGTGGTACCAAAGCAAGACTATCTGTATACACAGGGGACACTAATCTCTTCCTGCCGCCACCCCCCCCCCCTTAATTTATATGTTAACACTTAGAAGAGTAGACTGAGGTTGTTATAGCTTTGAGTTTTTCTTCCTTATTACTGTGTAACATTTCCCCAGTTACTCTGTCAGAAGAAACCTGTATGCTTGTCAGGCTGACTTGTAAAAGCAATGCTAGTCTGGCTGGCTGAGAAGATGCTGTAAATTGTTACTGTCACCAGGAGCGGTGTCACTGAAAGTGACTTTGGCAAGCAGGTAGATCACTACGGGTGTAACATACCTCTACTTTTGCTTCAGGTTTGGAAAGTAACCCATCTGCTTCCTAATAGTAAGTGTTTTTACACCAGAGCTTTTGTACTAGAGAAGTTTGAACTTTGACTAGCTTTAAGTATTATTCTGGCTTGATTAACAGATTGCCTGGAGCTTAATTATAATATCATTGACAGTCTCTCTAATGACTGTGAGTGTATTCAACCTGTTATTATTTAGTCCTTATTAGTAAATTAAGTCCTGATTACTTACTAGTAAATCAACCTGATTTACTTAGTCCACTTCCTTAACTTTCCCAGAATTCTCTTGTTTAAAATCATATATTCATTAACCAGATCTTCTTCACCTATAGCAATGTAATTACAGGAGTCTGTTATACAGCTCAGAAAATTTCACTATCCAGCGAACTAATTTACTGTAGCTATTAAACAGTTCAAAGAGATTAGGCATGATAATGGTGGGGGGGGAGAGGAGGAGAGAACGATCTGTCCCAGTTGTGATATTTGGAAAAGTAGTAGTGATTTTTTTTTTTTAATTTAAAAAAAACCCTTACATTCTGTAAAGTCCTGGGATCCCAAACCATAATAACCTGTACATGTGAGAATTTTTTTTTAACTTTGATTTGTTTTAAAGAAATTACTTACCTGGGAGTGTTTGGTTTACTTCATTAGCAGTATAGAACAGGCTGGGTGTCTCTACAGTGTCAGTGACTTCATTTATGTACATTTCATCTTCTGATTCACACTTGTGAGGTACTCAAAGCTGTGAAGGTCCTAGAACTCCTGTTTTTAGCAGTGTCAAGAATTTGGTTTCTGGCACATGGACCATGAAACAGTTGCACAAGTAATAGTAGGAAGGAAATAACAGTATCTTTGGTGTTATAAAGGTATCTTATAAAAGTCATAAAACTGACACTACTTTGCCCTGCTTTGGTTTTGAGGATGTGGTTTTAAGCATCAGAGTCATTGTGAGGCATTGTCTGATATTTGTTTTGTGTAGCTTTCACTAGGAAACAATTCAATGGTTTTGTAAAGTGTTTTCAGTTTGAGAGTACTAGTACTGGATTTAAGGAGAGTTGACACAGTATTGCATCTTCCTGTCTGTCTGGGATGTTAGATTTTTCATCTGTAATAGTTAAGTAAAAATACTGTGCTTAACTGGATTAAAACTACTCTCAAATCACTGCAGCTGTAGCAGAATACCATTACAAATACTAAAATCACCTTAGTAAGAGGTTATTGTCTGTTGTGGCAGAACTGAATGTTTTTAAGCTGCTAAATTGGAGGAATGAACCTGTTTTGCAGACGGACTTGTATGCTGCACTGGGAATAATTGTCTCAGGTTTCTTTAAATTAGCATATTTCTACATAAGAATACATGTGGCAGTAAGAGCTGTAAATACGTTAGTTTGTGATGACCTCTCTGCTGCTGCAAACACTTGACAGCAGATCTGAAGCTGCTAGTTTAGATCTGTGATGGGCTAGTTGCCTAAGCCACTTTGCTACTGCAATAAAAGTGAAAAAAAAATAATTTTCATGCTGATTATTTCAGTAAGTAGTTGTACTTGAGGGGTGTGGCTGGTTCATTCAGGATATGAACTCAGCAGTTCTGTGATCCTGGCTCTTCAGTATCAGTTTGTTCTGCTGTTCTAACAGGTACATCTAGTACATTTCTTAGTTGGATAAAAGAGTCTGAATTCTGTTGTGGGTTTTTTGTTTTTTTTTTTTTTTTTACTGGAGAGCCTTTTAATGTCTTCCAGGGTTGAATATATGATGTAAATGTCAAATCTGCCTGCTGTAATAAGAGGACTTCAGAGCACTATGTCTGTCTTAAGTCATTATATAGATGACAAACAGCTATGTGGATCCTGTTTTTCTCTGAAAGTTTACATTGGTAGTATAGCCGAGTTAATTAATGTTTTGGTGGCACCTGAGTAATTCAGTACTTGAAGCCAAGAAACAGATTAATGAGGCTTTCGATTTCAGAAAGGAAAATGCAGTGGCAGTTTTGTATTAGCAAGCACTACATTTTTTACTTGCTACCTTTTCCAAAACTTTATAAAATATACAAATGTTTATTATAGAACAAGTTGTGACTCTGTCCTGATACTTTAAGAAGGCTTAAAAACCTAAGCTGTTACTCTTTCAACTTTCACTTTCATCTCAGTCATGAAAATAAAAAAAAAAAATTAACGGTTAGTCTGACAGATATAACTTCCATTTAAGAAAGCGATACTGCTAGAATTGTATTTCTGTCCTTGCTTATTTCTTGTATATGGAATGTCAGATTTCTGACTGAGAGAACTTGGTTTCTTTTCACCCTTTTCAGGTTGCCCTGGCACAGTTGGAGGCTATCGCATTTGAAAGTGACGAAGCAGCTCCACCAGCTACTACAGAAATCATAGATGCTCTGCCGCACATTGTTGTCACAGATGACCATGATGGTATGGAAAAATAAAAATAAATTAATTTCCACAGAGTTTATAAGAATGAATCTGGTTCTCTGCAGTACTGTAGGTGCAATATTTAAACATATTGTGCAGCCTGCAATGCTGTTCTAAGAGATTTTGTATCTTGAGCTAGACTGAGTGTAATTTGGGTCTGTCTGGAAGATTAATCTTCACTAGACTAAGTGTGATAGTATTTTGTAATCACTGGTGATACTGTTGATAATACATGTATTTTCATTTCAGCTCATCTAAGATGTAAAACAAGAAAATAATTATTCTTTTTCTTCATGGCTATAGATGAAGAGAATTGTTGTACTATCTGTTGCAGTGAGTATGAGGAAGGTCAAATCATGACCGAGCTACCCTGTCATCATTTCTTTCACAGACTCTGTGTAGCTACCTGGTTACAACAGGTAAGTACTATAGGATTTTGGTGGGTTTTTTTTTTTGGTGTGTGTGTTTGTTGTCTGTGCTGTTGTTTATTTGTTGGTGGTTTTTTTTTTTTTGTGGGAGTTTCTGAGGGTTTACATTCTTCTGGGAGGAAAAGTTCATAATTTTTTGAAAATGTGGGGTGAAGTACCAAGAAATAACTGGTTGTATTATGGAACCAGACATTAGTGCAAGGAAGCAAAGTAATTTATATCTGCAAATTTATATCTGTATGTGTTTGAAGGGCAATTTCTGAATAAAGGGTGTTTTTGTGAGGAAAAAATTATCTGCTTTTTGGTACGACTGAAAGAGATGGTTGAGTTGTAACTTGTTTTGATACAAGAGAAGTTTTTGTTATGGTACTTGTACTTTGAAGTAAAGAAGATGGTTTAGTTTCCTCTGAGAAGAACAAAGGGTCTGATCTGTCTGCTGGAATATCAAGCCCAGTTATGGTGACAGCTCAGATTGGTGGGAGAAATCACCGCATCCAAACCTATCCTTCAGCTTCTCATTCCCCACCAATCCCTTCTTGCTGATGGGAACAAAGTCTAGCATAGCACCTCTCCCCATTGGCTCTTCTGCCACTTGGAGAAGGAGGTTATCATCCACACATTTCAAGAACCTCCTGCATTGCTTATGCCTTGCTGTGTTGTCCCTCCAACAGACATCAGGGCTGTTGAAGTCCCCCATGAGGACCAGGGCTTGTGAATGCAAGGCTGCTCCTGTCTGTCTGCAGTGGGTCTCATCTGCTTGGTCTTTCTGGTTTGATGACCTCTAGCAGACCCCCACTACAAGGGCAACTATCTTTTCTATCCTGACCCATAAGCTCTGGGTCCACTCCTCATCTGTTCCCAGGCAGAGCTCCATGTACTCCAGCTCATCACTGACATAGAGGGTGACACCCCCTCCTCCTCTCCTTGTCCTTCTAAAGAGCCTGTATCCTTCCATCCCAGCACTCTAGTCTTTGGAGCCGTATCACCACATCTCCATGGTGCCACTATGATCATAGCCCTGCATACATGTGCATACCTCTAACTCCTCTTATTTATTCCAAATGCTAAAAGCATTTGCATAGGCACATTTAATTTGGGTTCCTGATGAAGCCAGCTTGCTGGCTGGGGTGTGTGGAACTCCATTGCGCTGCCCTTCAGATGCTCTTCTACTAACCTGTGATCGTTCTCTGAGCTCTTGGCATCTACTGCTGGCACTGGCATCAGACTGGTAAGAGTGGGGTGGATTGAGGTTCCTCTCCCCCAGTAACTTTAAAGTCATCTTCACCAGCTTGGCAAGCGTATGACCAAAGATGCTCTTTCCTTTTTTTGACAGATGGACTCCATCTGTAATCACTTTCCTTCCAAGTATCTTAAAAAGGCTTACATCAAATTGAGACTAGACTAAAAGAATTGTAATTAATGAATTGATTTTTTTTTTTTCCTTGCACTTTCAATCTCCTTTATACACAGTATGAGCCCAGACTTGCTAGTTCTTAGTGAGCCTACAGTGTAACTCATCATATCCTCCAGAGGTTCAAGAGGAAGTTTGATTCAGACTAGGGAGATTAGATCAGTATACCTCTAACAGGAGTTGTTGTTGGTTTTAATTTTTTTTTACCTTGATAGTGTTGATTACCATGTTGATATTGCTGGTACTGTATGTCTTGCCTTTTTCTGCTCTCATAATAAACTGTTCTTGCTGAAAACTAAGACAAAATTAATTCCTGTTAGATTTGGGCTGTACTAGAAAAAATATTCCCACCTGGAAACCAAATTCTTTGAAGCTCTTACAGAGACCCCAGTGTATCCAGTGTAGAAGTGGTGTAAAAGCAAAACAAAGCTCTCTTCTGAGATTACTAGCTGTCTCTTAGCTCCAGGTGGATCTCCAGCCAAATCTGACTTTGAGACAGCACTGTTGTGAAGACATTAATAGCTTTTCAATAAAATTGAATCTAAACTGTTCAAATGACATGGTGGGTTTTGTCTTTTTGTTTGTTTTTGTAGTCTGGAACTTGTCCAATTTGTCGTCATGTGCTTGCACGTGTGCGTCCGGAAGCAGCTGTTGCCCCTGATCCCAATCCAGCTGATCATGTTCCAGAACCTCCTAGTAACGATGATGAAGAAGCTTCAAACTAGAGTCTGAAATCAAATCTTGGCCACCAAAATAAAAATCTAAATGTTTCCTTTTAATTACAATGTGAAAAGAATTATGTATGAAATGTTCAATGGAAAACACTGTTTGTACTATGTATTTCGATTTAGAAAGAGGGCAGAAGGCCTTCAAAACTCTTTAGGTACAATAATATCTTAAACTTTCAAACTGCAACTTAAAGGATATGCCGCCATATTTTCCTGGCAGAATCTTTGCTGGTAACCGTAACGTCTAAACCTTGTATTATGATCAAATTTTCCAAAAAGTTAACTTATGTGACACTTTGTTCAGGTTCTTACAGCTGCAATAGCTGACTGGAGTTATAATCAGTTCTATTGTATGAAGCTGAATTATTTGTTCTTGTCAAAGTTAATGTCACTGAGTGACTTTGTAATTGATCTCACTGATATTTGCATCAAATGGGAAGAAGTTCGGTGATGCCAGCAATGGTAGAATTCTGTTTTAGTGGAAATAAATGGCGTAATGTAGCAACATTTCTTACAACTTTATTTTGTAATAAACTTTTTTCTGAAGTATTCTTCTGTCTGTTTTTTAAATTTTCCAATGTCTTAATATTTTAAGGGAGAAAAACTGGTCTCAAAAATCTATTTCTATAATTAATACTTAACTCTGTCCCTTCAAGTTTGTGTATGTTAATCATTACAGTGCAGAAAATTAATATCTGGATGTTATACATCTACTAATGTCTGTGCAAAATCTTTTCTGGGGCCATGGGATAGAACACAATTCCTAATATATAGGTGCATGGGAATAATATGAGGAGTCCAATCAAACCATCTGTAAGCAGTTACATATTATTTGCAGTGACTTCAAAATTAAGCTGAATTAAGCTGTTGGAAAAGATATTGATTAAGAATCTTATAGTAGCTCACCGCCTGCTCCGTTGTGATTATGGTATCATCACAGTACCTCATTTTTTTTGCTGATATTAATATATTTTTTATTAGCAGTAGAAGTTAGTAATATTCATACCTGAGGGACATACTCAGCTGTGTGATGTACTTTGCAGTGTAACCTGGGGACTGCAGCAGAACAAAGAATGGGTGGCAGTTGCCATGAGTCTGCTTCTGAGGTCTTCAGTTATGTAATACCAAAAACATTAAGTAGTTTTTTATGTAAGTGTATAAAAGTATAAGGAATCCAGAAGTATAAGGAAGCCAGAACAGTAGGATGCTGCTGAAAAGGTGGCAGATGTGTGGCTCCTTGCGGACTTATTTTCCTCCATTAAAACTTTATATTTGCTGAAGTAGGCATCAGTAGGATTTGTGAAAACGTGACAAGGAACATATACTTCTAGGCATACTCACCAGCAGAATTCATACTAATTCAAGAAGTGCTATAGTCTTCCACATCTCTATTATAAACTGGTTCTGTAGAAAGTGGTTGATACATGTCTACCACTTACCCCAGGTGATAAAACAGTGCAGCCTTTAAAGCTCATCTAAGGTGTGTATGAGATGTACGTAGACATAAAGAGGGAGTGGAAATGAAGACTTTGTGAAAGTCTTTATTTGGAAATGAAAACTATCACTTGCAGGTGTAAAAAAGACCAGAATGATTGACTTAGTATCAAAATTGTTCTTGTTAGGTCTTTGTTAAGGCCTTTGGTTCTCAGGTGGCTACCCTCTGCAGCAGATGTTACAGGTATGTTAATGAGCCTGTACTTTGTTTCTCTGTGGAATGGCAGAGTATGCTGGCTTTCATTTCATCATTTAAGTATGGTGTTCTATAAAGAGAATTACTTTAACTTCTGTAGCAAGATTTGGAAATTCTCTGAGAATCATAGAATCACTATGGTTG